CTTAATATATAATATTTGACTTTACTGCATCTCACTCAGCCTTAAAATTATATGATAATATTTTTAAATAATTATTATTAACACTTTCTGAGAACTTTGTGTAGCGTAATGTAAAATGTATGGGAAATGTTGGTATTTTTTGTGTATAAAGGCAACATGAGCAACCTCATGTTTATATTGCACTTTGGTTGTTGAGATTTTAAAGAAAGATTGTTATGTAAAATCTAGAAAAATGGAAGAAACTGATGTTAAATCTAAGGACCAAAGATGAGAATGGACTTATTGCTCAATACAGTGAAAATAATTATAAAAACAGACTTCAGCCACTTAGCATGTATGTGAAGAGTGAATTCATGCTGTGAGTTAGAAATGGTCTATCCCACTTCTACTTCAGTTAATGCAGCTCTATGGGTTCTCTTTTTATGTGTTCTCTTGGAGCAAATCTTTTTATAACTCCAGGCTTTGACTTTTCATTTGCCTGTTTTCTATCTTTTTGTCAGAATGGTCCATGTGCTGCATCATCACCTGGCGAAGATGGGCCTGTGGTTCTTACTTTTTCTCATTGTTTGTTGTCTAAAGGTGGTTCAGGATCTTTAATTGCTACAAGTGTGTAGCAGGGAGCTGGGGGGTCCTTGTTCCCATATGGGTGTTGCTCTAGTTTCTCTCTGGAGGAGACATCTTAAGAAAGTGAATAATGAAGAATCCTGTCCAGATTAATACTGGAGTAGTCAAACAATTCTTAAGACACTTTGTAAGCAGTTCTGATAATTTGGATGAATTGTTTGTTGTTGGCAGGCTGTCAGCCACACACACAGGGCCCTTAGGATAGGGCTCTTCTGCCCAAGTCATATGAGCTAGGCCTTTCTTGTCCTCCTAGATTTTTTTTTTACTTTTTGGTACTGGGGATTGAACTCAGGACCTTACGCTTGCGAGACAGGTGGTGGCTCCACCGAGCTAAATCCCCAGCCCCCTCCTAGAGTTCTGACCCAGAGCTCCAGCATTAAGATGATTCCATATGTGGAATTCTTCCAGTGATATATTTTAATAACCTCATTCTTTTTAGTAGTTTCTCATCTGTCATTTATATGTTACAGATGAGTTTAAGTTGCATGAAGGTGGCTAATGTGGGTCTCAGAAATTGGTAAGTGTGGACAGACATCTGATATGTTACTGACTCACTCAGTAGCTTTTCTGTTGTATCAATTTGGATGCTAGTGGTAATGATGATGTCACCATTGCCTACTTGGGAGATAATGAAAGCAATCATGGATGCTGTTTTTACTGGGCATATCATCTAAGATGGGAGAGTCTTTGATCTAAGAATAAAGACTGATTTGAAGATAACCAATTTGTGGTAGCTAGTTGTAGAATTTCACATCAGACTGCACTGTTGTCGTTTTAAATGTGATGTGGACCCATTAGAATTCACAGCAAATCATCTGGGCTACTTCAGGGTTGCCACACAATACCTGAGATAATCAATTTGAAAAGAGAAAAGATTTATTTTGACTCATAGATTTGGAGGGTTCAGTCAATGGTTGGTTGGCCCTATTGCTTTTGGGCCTGTGGTAAAGCAGTGTATCATGGTGAGGAGTGTGTGTTGGATCACAGCTGCCTACCTCGTGGTGGCTGGGAAGCAAAATGGAAAAAGGACTAGAAGAGATTGAGGTCTCACAGTCCTCTTCAAGGATCTGCTCCTGCTGACTACAGGCCTCCCAGAAGCCCCCACCTTTAACATTTCTACCACCTCTTCATTGTGCCGCTCTGGGGAACAAGCCTTCAACCCATGGGCCTTGGGGACATTCCAGATGGAAATAGTAGCACTGCCCATGTGTTGGGCCTAGTCAGCATTGACAGACCTTGTTTTGGCTGGTTTCACACATGAAGCATGTTGGAATTGAACTTAAACACCCTTATTCTGACTCCATTTGTCTCATTGGTGAAGAAATGGGCTTGTTAACCACTTATTTTTTCCTTTTTAGAAAGATAAATTGTTCAGTTGTACTTTGATCATTTTTATAACTTTCACCTTGTTTCTTAGGGAACCCATGTCTGGTTAGCCTCTTTTATTATGGAAGGAAGTAGGAGTAAAAAGACCATTTTAGCAAATAATTCAGGGAGAACTTGGGACCAGAAGCTCTTGTTATGTACAGAAAAGGATAACCTCAATGAACCCAAACTAATTTTGTATTAGCAGTTATGGTAAATTTAATTTGTAATATTTTATACAAATTGTTTAGAATGCTTAAGAATTATGAGGGAAATGTACTTACAGTACAAAAATTTTATAATTACTATACTTAAATTATTTGGGAACTGAGAAATGTATTTTTACACTGTTTATAGCCAATCATTTCTGTATTTTTCAATTTAAATCTTTTGGGTCTTTTTTTATCTTTCCTAATGTCAAATTTTATAGTCTTCTTTTTAAATAAATTCATTTAATTGA